ATGCATATGTTAAATAACTTTTTTAATATATATATATATATATTCTTACTTTTGGCAAATTCTTCGTCATCCAATTGATAGCTAGCTGTTCAGTCGCGAATAATTTGATCTGGCTTATAAAACTATGTTTGTGCTTCGGTACATGCATTGCGATTAACTCGATATCAATTCCTTTGATTATTGTTTTTACTTCTTCCAGTGTCACAGATTTATCAATATTAAAATCAGTATTAAAGTATTCGGATATTTGTTCGAGTTGATTTAAAATAATAGGTTTTACGATATCGTTTTTTCTTGAAATTGTTTCGAAAATGACCCACTCTAATTCTTGAATTGTCATAAGATCTCTACGACTTAATATGATTCTACATCCGTTTGTTGTTTTTGACTCTATAACCAACACATGCTCTCCTTTATACACCATACTTGTAAGCAAAGCGACTTCATCTTCCAAAAAAATAATTTTTTTATATTTTACAACAGGATCGAGAACGTGTGACAAAACATGGCCCATGACTGAATAAATTCGTTTCAAGAAGTCTGATGAAATTTTTACATACCGTGACGGTGTAATTATTTGCAAAACGATATTGAACTGATCTTTTGGATCGAATCCGATGTTCAAGAATTTGCGATTTTTAAAGTCTATTGTAAAATTAGAGCAATCCATGAGTTCATGTGGAGATGTAGGTGCAACATAATTGTATACCCGTTTCATTTCACTTATTGGTCCTGCCATATTTATAAGCAATATACTGAGACTTACAACTTGACGCTGTTAAATCAAAACTGAGACTGAATATTCACACGATAGAGTATTAATTGTTAAACCATGTATGTAGTGGGGGGTTATGTATAATGTGTTTGGTAGTGGGGATTAGGTAAATAATGTGTTCAGCATTTACATGTATATATATATAATAAAGGTAGTGTGTTGCACAATTATATGCGGATACCCTGTTATACATGTGCACTCGTATTATTATTTGTTAACAGTAATGTGATAAGTGATATCAGTTTAGGGCAGAACTGCTCGCGGTTATATATGATAACGCATAGTAGCACACGTACGCGATCGGTCTGTTGACGGTGGTGTTGGTGGAGAAGTAGGGGAGGGGCGGTGACGGTAGCGGGCTATCTATGGCTGGGTGGTGAAGTGGGGAGGTGGCGGTGGCGGCGGCGGTAGGGATTTTTGAGTGAATGAATAGTCACTATTCATTACTGTCCGCAGTTGGTGTTATAGTGCTCTATTACCTACATCTCGTTCGCTCTGCGCTAATACTACGCACGTAATTATTATATACCTAACGTATTAAAGAATGTAGTACAATCGATCAGATTAGCTGGCGGCGATGGTGGTGTATATTTGTAAATATTTTCCATATTTTCAATTGGACCAGCCATATTTATTTTACGCACTGAGAAATAATTATGATTTTAACACTGAATATGAGACAAGCACACGCGAAACACTTGGAACGATTATATAGAGTGACTGAATTTATGTTGTGTAGTTGTGTTCATAAACGAGCAAAAATATACCAGTAGATTATTTTGTGTTAAAGTCACTGTGATAACTGATAACGCACCGGAGGGCTCGCGCGCGCGTTCGCGGCGGCTCTTGGTATGGTATAGTGGCGGGGGAAATTATTTTATGTTGTGTAGTTGTGTTCATAAACGAGCAAATTAAATATTAATTGGTGGGGGAGACATCGAAAAGTCCCTACAGGTTAATCGGGAGGGGGTAAATGGTATAGTGGTGGGGGAAATTATACCTCGCGCATAGACGCCGGTTAAATGAGATAGAATATACCTTCTCAAACAGATGCGAGTAGGCGGCCCAGTGGTACGGTTGTCGCTTATCATGCAAGTTAACCGGGTTCGAATCACGGTCCGGCGGATAAATTTTTAAATTATTTTCCACGCGCGGTGGTCATAGGTGGTGGGGTGGCGGGGGTACATCGTTAACGTGTGTGATATATGGTGGGTTCAGCAGCCGTCAATGTATAGGGATGAGCAGACGGTATAGTGGGATGAGCAGACGGGTATAGTGGGATGAGCAGACGGGTATAGTGGGATGAGCAGACGGGTATAGTGGGATGAGCAGACGGGTATAGTGGGATGAGCAGACGGGTATAGTGCCATGAGCAGACGGGTATAGTGGGATGAGCAGACGGGTATAGTGGGATGAGCAGACGGTGTAGTGGGATGAGCAGACGGGTATAGGAAATTGCCAGCAGGATGAGGCGCCAGAACTGTCTTTTTAAATTATTACTAAAACCATACTAAGCAATATTAACTGAATATGACTTTGAATATACTATATTATTTTCACAATATATCAAATAACTAATAAGTACCATTTTAATCTTAAATCCATACTATAAAAAAAGTAAATAAATTCTATTACTTGATAAAGCATTGTAATTTAGAAACTAAGAAACTGAATTATAAGACTTAATATTATAGTAAGAAATTATATAATACAGTATTGTATACATACCTTTAAGTATTGCAGATTATATATACAGAGTGATCCATTTAAGTGTCTACAGTCTACACTCATTATTTCAAAACGTTTCAACTTTTTTGTAAATATTTTTTTTTTCATAATTTTAGATCATTTTCAAACAACATTTTTAACTATTTAAATTATTGTTCTGATCCATGAATATCGAATTTGGGACAAGTAGTTTGTTAGTTATAATCATTTAAAGTTGAGATGAGCTGAGTAGAATAGTACAGCTAGGAGAACCCCTTAAAATGGTATCTACCTTTCACTCATCAAAACTTTAAAGACTTATAAATTGTAAGTTATAAGTTATAACTAATAAACTATACTTGACAATTGTCCAAAATATGATTTTTGTAGATCGAAATACTCCGAATGATATTCTACTACAGTACTACGGAATATGAAATTAAAAATGAAGTGTCATTCAAAAAAAGGTGCTCTGCTGTGCAGTAGGTTACAAGTGGGTCACTGTAAAATGTATGGTATTAAATTTGAATTCAATGAAATAATATCAATGTATAAGAAAAACGATTCTGAGCGGAGACGGTATGTCTGGCTAGGTTTAAGACATATTATATACATATCTATCGAATTAAAAAAAAATTTACCTATAATAAATTCCAAATTAATCATATCACAATATCCATTAGGTACTTATAATACGTTATACATCAACAACAAACCCTGATACTATCATAGATATATAACAGTACACTTTAGAAGTTTCAAGAACCCACGAATAATATTATACAATCACAACAAAATAACTAAAATAGTTATTCTAGGTTTTTTATTATGTAATTTCATTTATATTTGAACTTAAAATGACTATTAAAATAAACTGTGCTTATGTGTTTTTAGATTTGGTAACAGAATCAACTACTTATGTGGAATCTTGTTTTAAATTTTCAATCCTTAGATATAAAATTTGAACATTTTATAAATTTTTAACTACAAAATAATTATTCAATTTTAAATTTGATAAATTTCGTCAAAATTCGATCTTTAAATCCCTATAAAAAAAAATGTGCCTTTTTTAATATTTTTCAATTGCTATTGTAACAATATATCAGGAGCCTTGTATTAAATTTTTACACTTATTGCCCTGTTCGTAAACAGCTCAAAAAGATTCAAAATATTTTCAAAGTTGTATGGTGTATAGGAAATGCTAATATAAGCATCCAGTGAAATTTTCATGTATCTACAGTTATTTGTTTTTGAATTACAACAAATTAAGGAAATCGCTAAATGAGAAATCGAGTGAATATCCAATGTTGTAAAAATTTGAGTTTCAAACGCTCATAAAAATTGAATTTGACTTTATTATACATTTTTTTTTTTTTGATAAAGGTAGATAATCTTATAAGGAATCTTGTATTCAATTTTAAAATCTTAGATTTAAAAAGAAAAATTTTTACGAATTCTTAACTCAAAATAATTTGCTAATTTTCGTGATTTTTCCATATTTTGTCAATTTTTGAACTTTAATGCTTATAAAAAAAAACTGTGACTAAGGATTTTTAATATTTTTCATCTGCTGCCTTTGAAACAATATACTAGGAGCCTTCTATTAAATTTTCAAGTATTTTTACTCAACAAATAAAATTTTATTGATACTCATAAAAAAAAACTAATAAAATTGGAAACTGAAAATGTCCCTAAACAGTTCAAAATTATTTAAAATATTTTGAAAATGTTATCGTGTATATAAAATTCAAATATAAACAACCAGTGAAAATTTCATGTATCTACGATTATTTGTTTTATAGTTACACCACAAACCAAATTCGATAAAAATTCCCGTTTTTCCTTAATTTTTCTTTTGTTTTTCCCGGCGCTTTTGAAAATCACTGTGAATTTTAAATTTGACATCCCCAATGCACCAATGATATTCACTTTCCAATCGAACAAGATAATGAAGTTAAAAATCGAAGCATTATTTCAACTACTTATCGAGTACACAGACACAAAAGTAAAAAAAGTAAAAAAAAATTTAAAAAAAAACACATCATTGTAAAATCAATACATTCATCGTTTCACTCAGAATCTAAAATACAAACTTAAAAAATTATTACTATGAAAAATAGTAAAAATATTGTTTTTTTCAGAAAATGTTTTTTTGAAATTACATCAAATCATAAAAAAAATATATATTTCAAAAAAGTTAATACTTTTCGAAATTATAAGTTTGAACACTTGAATGTATCACCTGGTTTAAAATAACTATTTTACAAACACAAAAATCGACAAAGATAGTGGGAAAATAAATGTTTTTAACACTTTTATGTATTGCAGTATATCTTCTATACTTTGTTCAAAATAAGAACAGTAGTCGGCGGCCGAGTTCTGCGAATGGGCGTGGCTTTGTTCCGTGGCAGCGCCTGACGCGTCGCCGTGGTGGGGACGGCGTTTGACCATATGTCTGATCGCCGCTCGACGAAAACCCATTGCCGCCGACTACTGTTCTTATTTTGAAGTTTTGAACAGTGTATAATATGTCAGGTATTATATTATTTATCAATATATTAGTCTGGCCAATAAAGACCTTTTCTTATTGAAATTAAAATAACAAAATAATATATTGGCTAAACTAATACAAGTTTTCTTTTATAAATAACAACATACTATTATTTACTTTCAAAAACATATTAATCAAAGTACCTATATTTTTAAATAGCTAGCAAAGATTCATTTTACTATCAAATACTAATTACATAATGTCGCTCAAGTATAACGAAGAGTTTAAATACGCATTACGTGACATAGCCAACAACTCTTTCAAGCTGGAAAATCAATTTGGTAATTTCTCAATTATGTATTTTAAAATTACAGTTATTAGTATGCCCTTTTGTGACTATTACTTCTATTCTATTCATAAATCTTAGTAATTTAGTATTTTTATTAATAATCATTAAAATTTATATTACTTTTATTTTAAATTTTAGACAGAGTCCGTTGTACTGAATGGGTCCATAAGATGGTGATGTTGTCAGATGACTCTTTAGAAAATATTAAAATTCGCAATGATTATGCTCAATATTTACGTATAATGCTTAGAGCTGGTGTTCTGCATGGAATATTTTCCAACAGTCCGCCAGCAACTTTAATGCCTTTCGCTGAAGCTATGGTAAGACGAAATATAATTTAAAATCACGCATATACCTATTTAATAATAATATTTGTTGTAGGGGAATTAAATATATAATTGTGTAAAAAAAAAATAGATTTTTTAGAATTAAATGATTTTGATAATATAGTACAATTTCGAATATTTCTTGTTTAGGGAAAATTGGTAGCATCAAAAGTAACATCTCTTCCGCCTATGGGACCAATTAATGTGTATATGAAGCACTGGTCTCCGGATGGACGAGCTTATGTAGCTATAAAACCAATACCTGGAAAAGGAGTGCTAACTTACCTTTCAGTCACTCCAATAAGTGATGGACAACATAATAATTAGTTTGAATATTAATAAATTGTATTTTTAATTGACATTTACGATTTTTTATTTTCTTAAAAAAAAAAAAAAAATTATAATATGGTAAATTATTGTATTCCTGCAGTTGCAGTGACTATGATTAATACCTACCAATGATTAATAATTGTAATCAATAATAGTATAACGCTATATTTTTTAATCAATGTTAATATTTATGACAATCAAGGAATAGAAGGAATAGAAGGAATAGTGGTACCTATATAAAGGTATAAAAATAACAAAATAAAAATGTATATAAATAAAAAAAAATAGGAAATTAACAATAAGAAATTGAACTTTTAATTTAATATAAGTCCTGCAAGTCATATTATAACTAATAAATAATAAAAATACCTATTAGGCAATTATAAGTAGGTACATTAATACATTATACATATACCTAGTTAATAAAACTATTCATTTTTTATTGAAACGTTATGTCTTTATCTCTTATATTTTTAATATCCTAGTTCTAATAGTTTGTCCAAGTAAGTACTTCAAACGTCTATAAAAAAATTAACTTGTATTTTTTTTTTAGATTTTTTCGTTTTAAAATGAACTACTTATGAGGGAGGAACCATGTTTAAATGTTCAATAATTAACTATAAAACTTTTTAAAACATTTTTAAAATATTTAACTGTAAAATAATGGGCAAATTTTTGTGATTTTGAACAAATTTGAATTTTAGAAGCTTATAACTAAAATTTAATGTACCAATGTATTTTAAATATATTAAATTATTTTAGTAATTTTTAAATTGCTAAGTAAATAATATATCATGGATTTTATATTACATTTTCAAACTTTTTAAAATAGAGAAATTTTTTATGGAAATGTATAGAAACAATAAAATCCAAAATTTCAAACTTTCATAAAAGAGTAAATATTCGTCAAAATATTGAGTTACATCAATAAAACAAAATCGAATTTGTCAAAAACTGATTTACGTAGATATCCGTTTTTTCTAAATTTATTTTGATTTTCCGAAAAATTTTTTTTTTTTATTAGATAAAAATAAGTATTTACAATCTGTAATATTTATATAAAATAATAAGTAAATTTGATGATCAAGAAGGTAGAAAACATGAATAGCGTGAGGAGGGAGGCCCACCAGTGTGGATACCCTCTCTTTAAAATTTACTGGAGATTTTCACCTTCCAGAACTAGAAACTAGATCCAATTTTCTATTAGAAACCACGTTCAAAAGTTTAGAACCATTTTTTCAACTATAAAACGTGTTTACAGATGTCCACTCATAAAAAAATAAAATTAAAGACATATCATTGTGAACACAAAATATTCATCCCTCCACTCAGAATTTAATATAGGTATATAAATAATAAGAACAAATAACAAGTACCTATACAATATTTCATAGTTGAAAGTGTTGTCAGTGCGAGTGGCTTCTTTTTGAAAAGTATGCATGCTTTTTTGGTATTTTTATTCACCATTATCATAATGGGTATTATTGCACCTCGAGGTATGTACAGTAAGAATAATTTCTAAATAAATAAAAAAAAAATGCATGAAAAAATTACACTTGTTATGTGTTATTACTTATTTATACCAAGGTACACATTATAGGCTCATGTACTTATTCAAAATCGTTTGAATTGCATTAAATTATATAACAAAAACGTGTTTTATCGTAAATAACAACCTAAATAATATATTTATACAGTCATACAGATACAAATAATTAACGTGAATTCACTGAATAATACGCGTAAATAAAATTCTAGAGCGAACTTGTTATTTATGTTAGGTATAGAACAATAGAACGCCAGCTATCATGCACCCCTTTTATATTCATAACAATTATTTGATACAATACCTATGATAACCATTGATAACCAATGATAACCTATTACTTAATACTTAATAGTGAATGTTTATAATTTTATTAACTCGCATATTTTCTAATTTGCTTATAAAATTATACATATAAAAAAAAAATTAGTTATTTTTTGTAATTTTAAAATATTATTTGGGACTTGAAACTTATACCATTGATTATAAATAGTATTTATAATCAATGCTTATACGTATATTATAATTTATAATATATTGTATATACACACGAGATGCCATAATTAAATGCAATGTTTTCGGAAAAAATTAATTCAACCTACCGGCTACCGTAATACGAACAGTAAAATAAATTAGATAAATAGTAATATTGGTCATGGTTGTCTGACTAGAATCGTTATTCGTGTGCTATGATTTAATCATTGAACTCAAGTTTAAAACATACATTACAGAGACTTACTCAATCAAGATTCGCGAGGTACAGTCGACATCCGCAGTGGCGTATTTTAGGGGGGAAAGGGGGCAATTTCCCCAGGCAGCACTATTTAGGGGGCAGCAAATTTTTGAGGGAACTTTTTTTTGGAAAACAGAATTACATTGATTTAGGCAACAAAACTTTCTTTTAATATATTAGTATAAAGCTATTAAGAATAACTATTCTGGGCAATCAATTATCAATCTCCACATCTGATAATACGCGTTTGTCGTGGAATATAAAACCTAATTTTCTGTGCCTAAACTAAAAATGTCATGTGGGTTATGGTGGTATAGTACATCGTACTGCAGTACAAGAGAGTAAATTGTACAAGGGAGCGATTTTAATATTTAATAACTTACAGACTACAGTAATTAGTAAGTTATCTTCAGCCACGTATAACAAATTATATTAGAAAATTTCTTGTAAGCTTGATGATTTACTTTTTAAAAACTTAAATTTTTCAGAAAGATTTATTTATAAATATATTTTGAGACAAGGCCTTTTATTGCATTGATCATTTTTTTAAGTATCTATTTATTATTTAATATTTATAATAACATACTTTGCTAATGAATAGGCAATGATTTTACAATAATATTTGATGATTTGTTTTGTGTGTGTGTGTTTAATGTTTATACTTTATATATACACGGTTAATGGTTGAAATTAAAAAATGCTTCGATTTTCAACTTCATTATTATTTTTTAGTGGGAAAGTGAATCTAGTTGGTACTTTAAAAAATAGATAATTTCAGGTAGTTTTAAAAAGCAACGAGAAAAACAAAAAAAAAAAAATTAGGAAAAACGGAATTTTTACTCAAGATACCTACAAGTTTTTGACAAAATTGATTTTGATTGTTTGGTGTAACTAAAAAAAGAATGAGAAGCTTATTTATTGTGACTTATGAAATATTTTTGTATAATATAATATTATATCCTATAGAATCTTAACCAAATAATATCACGACGAAAGTAAATTAATAGTCCGCACGAAGTAAAATATGAAATAGGCTATACTTAAACTAAATAATCGATATTTCCATAGATATAGGAGATTATTAATTTTTCAATTTGACCCTACCGTATTCCTTGAATTTTTACTGTATTTATATACGACTATACCATTAGTCATTACTATTCTTTCTAATTTCTAATAGAAGTATCAGGTACATATAGGTCTATACTTATATTCTATTATAATTTATTGATAGATACTTATTTAGTCTTTTCTCATTTTTAAATTTTCATTAGTATTAGAACAATATTACCCATCATGGACTTACTGAGTAGTACTTAATAAGTAATAAGTACATAATATCTGATTATATAATAAAATAATTAAAAGATGTAGGTAGGTATTTTATATTATTTATTAGGTAGGTACTTGTATGTGTTTACTATAAATTTATAAATACTTCCGAAAAAAATTTATATTTATTTTACACACGGTTTTGTACCGTGTACTGTGTATAGGTACCTACCTTATAGTTTACTACCATGAAAATGCATAATGCGCCCCTTATGAAAATCACGCCTACATTAAAATTTTAATACATTTTATTTTTTTCCACAAAAACCATGGACTAAGATAATCTTTTTGATCTTAAGATTATATCTTAGTTCTTGGAAAAACTGAATAGTATAAGTTTGAAGTTTTAAACCTATCCACTATTCGTTTTTAAATTCTAATGCTATCGTAAACATTTTTGGACGTATTGACTTTTGGAAGAATGGAGAATTTCAACTTGAAAGTCAATACAAATGTGTTTATTATGAACTATTGGTATCCTTGTACAACATTTCGAATTCTAAAGAATTTAATTCAAAAGCAAGAAATAATGCACTGTCTCTTTTAAAAAAATTTTGTTCTTTTGAAACTATACTAGTGGCAATGATGTTTCTTCAAATTTTTAAAATAACCACACTACTATCTATATCTTCAGACTCCAAATCTAGATTTTTTCCAAGCTTATAACCACATAAGTTGTACTTACGCAAGTCTTTTAAAGGTAAAAGCTAATTTTGACGATATAACGAAAGCTGCCAAATCTTTTGTTATTTATTTTAAAAGTAAAATTGAAAACCAGGAAGATCAAATTGATATTGAAATCGAAGAAGAACTTCTAATAAGACATAAAAAAACCATAAAACGCATGCCAGGATAACTTGCTCGAGATCGAGACGAATGTATTATAGATGATATTGACAGATTTCATGCAACGATATTTAATTATTCATTAGACACAATTTCGAAAAGTATAGAAACGCGTTTTTTATTACATAAAGAACTTTATCTAGAGTTAGAATGTTTTGACCCTCGTAGGTTCAAAGACATAAGGAAAAATGGTGTTCCATCAAATGCATTAAAAAAAAATTTGCCAACTATTACCCAATATAGATAGAGGTAAGCTTAAAGATGAACTTACTAGTATCATTTATCTACATCATGGCCATTGATATCTATCTAAAACAGATTCGCCTAACGCATACAATAATTTAGACGAAGATAACATTGAAGACGAATGGACAGATGTTGATTACGATAAGCCTCAAAAGTGCAATAAAGATGAGACATGTAACCAGAGGCGCATCAAGGGGGGGGGCAAAAGGAGCAGTTGCTCCAGGCGGCAGTGGCGGCCAAATATTTAAGGGCGGCAAAAAAAGTCATAATATAGTGCCGTTTGTATTATAATAA